GGCATGTGGGATCCTCCCGGACCGGGGCACGAACCCGTGGTCCCCTGCATCAGCAGGCGGACTCTCAACCACTGCGCCACCAGGGAAGCCCGGAACTATCTTAAAAAAGGAAAAAGTTCTCCTAAAGATGAAGAATTTTTCTGTTTGAAATTCAATTTTAACTGGCATCAGTTTAAACAATTTTACTTCTTAAAAATAATTTTGTTTTAATGAGAGCCATTCACCCGTCTCATTTTACAGGTGAGAAAACAGATGCCCAGAGTGTGGCGAGGTGACTTGCTGATACCCTGCTAAGTTCTAGATTCCAGTCCAGCTTTGCTGAGTCATCACCCAGCCCCAGGCCCCCCATAACACCCCACTGTGGCCAGCCAGGTGACAACTCACCCCCGTGGGGAGACACAACTATATCAACTGATGCACCCGGGTCACAACTGCTGTTGCTTGGCTTGACTCTGTACTTTTCTGGAGCAGTTGTTCTCACCTGTTCACAAAAAAACAGTAGTCACATAACCTTTATGCTCTTTGGGGGGAAGTGGCTTTAAAATGACTTAAAAATCATTAATAAAAAGTCTATAAAACAATCTTGGTGGTTATGTATATAGAATATATCTTTTCCCATCTGCAGGAAAAAAGCATCTCAATCTACTAGAACAAAACACTCATCAGTCTGTTACTTAGCCTTCCTCTTAAACTAAAAAAAGAAATCCAACTGTTAAATATTTATCCTGTTAATCACCTGAATTTAATAATTCATGTTCAAAAACAACACACGTTAGAACACATGTTACAGTAGTGTCCAGAAATTTAAAAGCAGTAATCAAAGGACATCTAGGAAGTAGATGATTTAAGGAAGTAATACCCTACAATATGGGGCAGCGGTGGAGTCAGTCCTGTTATACTTAATGCTCAGTGTTAGGTTAGTATCCAGTATAAACTATACTCCAGAATATACCACACTTGGGGGAGACTGCACTTTAGATTTTATAGTTTTATTTTTTCACTCTCTCTATGAATTATTCATACAATGAAAAGTGTCTTTTTTTTTTTTTTTTAAAAACAAACAAACCCTGGGACTAATTTGGACAGTACCCTATTACTGCACATTAAAGACTAAGATACAGACCTCAGGGAAAATTTTAGATAAGCTGTGACACACAGAGACAGAAGGCAGTATAACAAGCCTAAAAACAGAAATAAAACCACTGTGCAAGTTCAAAATTATCAATCTTTCAATTTTCACACAATTTATATCTTTCAGATATTTACCTTAAATGCCACTATGTTTTTTGTTACATTTGTCAATGTTATTAAAGCTTTCTTCTCTTCACATTCTGTACTTCCAAAATACAGTTCTTCCGCGGGGCTAGGTGACAACAAAAGCATAAGCCAATGGTATGGCTCAGAATAAATGACAATCTAATCATCAGCTTGAAGAAAAACATTTGGTTAATATTTTACACTCATTTGTATAAAGAGATTTCATCAAAGAAGATTACAAAACAATACCTAATATATTTTGTATTTTAATCTTACTGATTCAGTGCACACTAAAAAGTCCTATGGTTTCCCCCTAGATCTAAAAGCAAAATAGGGAAGAACAGGAGCGAATTAGGAAGATTCTGAATTAGTCCTATAATCAGCACCATCTTAAGGTTTCTTTATTAAAACTCTTTGGTAGGTGAAAGATAAAAATCAGAGAAGAAATTGCTGCTTCAACTTAATTACAAACATTAGAATGGGGCACATTTTTATACATCAAGAGAGAAGAGTATAACTTAAAATGATCATCAGGGATATATTTAAGTAACAGAATAAGTCCTGACTATAGAAAGGATTTTTCTAAATAATATGGAAGGAGAAAAACACAAAATATGCGGCGGGAATTACAGGAAAAAATTGTCAAAAAATCAGTGAGGCTCAAAATGCAAATTTTACTATTACTGGCCACTGCATTTTAAAAATAAAAAGACTCAAGCAAAGTTTGTGTAGTTTAATTACATGAGCCAAATTGGGTGCCTCCAAATGATGCAAAGGACTGATTTTTATTTATTTACTTACTTTTAAAAAATTTTATTTTTATTTTTGGCTGCACTGGGTCTTTGTTGCTGCACGTGGGCTTTTCTCTAGTTGCAGCGAGCTGGGGCTACTCTTTGTTGCGGTGCATGGGCTTCTCATTGGGTGGCTTCTCTTGTTGCAGAGCAGGGGCTCTAGGCGCACGCGCTTCAGTAGTTGTGGCTCTCGGGCTCTAGAGTGCAGGCCCAGTAGTTGTGGCACACGGGCTTAGTTGCTCCGCAGCACGTGGGATCTTACCGGAGCAGGGCTCGAACCCGTGTCCCCTGCGTTGGCAGGTGGATTCTTAACCACTGCGCCACCAGGGAAGCCCAGACTGTGATTTTTAGATAAAAAGGTGAATTCTTCAGATAGCCCTTGACTATAAGCTCCACCTTTAAATAGATCCATTTTTTATCAGGAATATGTGCATATCAGAGATATTTATTCATGTAAAGAACACACATTTTAAAAAAGTGCTCTCCCAGGAGAGCTGTGCCCAGCTTTGGACAAGACATAAATTAGTATGGTTGCTGGCATCTTTTTAAAACCCAATCTGGAATATACCACAGAAAAGCCAGGAAGGTTAATGGATCTCAGATCTGCTCTCAGTATCCAGCACAAAAACCATGAAAAGCTCTAGGGAGACAGAGGTTGGTTAGGGGTGTGTGGTGTGTGTGTGTGTATGTATGTATGTATGTATGTGTGTGAGAGAGCGAGAGGAGATGATTTTCTGGAGGGATGGGTGGGCATTGCAGAGTTGGCTTTCTCCCTAGCCGGATCTTCTAGCCGTACCTTGATAGTTACAAGCCAGGACGTATGGTTTTGACAGGCCTCCAGAGAAAAAACAGTAACTTCCAAACTAGTAGAGGGAAAAATGGGAAACAAACAAATTCCAAAGTGGGGGGAACTACAAAGAAAAACCACGGAAAAGAACATGCACCATGCACGTGTGTTTCCCTCCTTCCCTCTCACACACAGACTCGTGCAGATGGTGAAGATAAATCCAAATAGAACAGTATTCAAAATATATGTAAACAAACCAATCTTGTCAGAGAAATTCAGATTTGATGTTTAAAATGTCTGGCTCTATTGTTCATGAGTCTTTAACAGTTACATAGAAAGGTTTCAAGTAAAGGGATAGAAAATGATACAGTAGGCCATTACTAAATAAAGTTGGTAAGGCAGTATTAACATAAGGCTGTACAGATTTACCAACCAAAAGCATCATTAGTGAGAAAGGTCTTTACATCATGATAAGGAAACAATACTGAATTTTTTGGATTGAACAACCTAGACAGAAAAATAGAGATGTGCTGAAATTCGGCTTTGGTAAAAACCCTATTTTTCTGGTTCAGCTTTAGCTTTTGGAAGGTCAAATTGATAAATGGCTACTTCAGTGTCATTTCTGGCAACCTCAAACTTGTGCAAGTCAAACACTATCAGTAAAATGAAAAAAATATGTCATTCAGACTTGTTGTTAATATACGCATATTCACTCTTATTACCTGATGTGGGATAAAGGCCCTTTAAACACACTGAACAGAATAAGTAACAAAAAGGTAGCTACAAATGTCCACTATATCTGGAAACCAAGGTGAGTCTTCAGATAACCCTTAATTTTGTATTTCCACAGTTTCAAAAACAGGCCAGAAGTTTTCTTAATTTTGCAGTTCCCTCAAAATGATCAAGATGTATTATGAAAGCATAGCTAATAAAATCCTCAACTAGTACCTGATGTGTAATAAAGGCCCTTTAAACACACTCAATGGTTTCTTGAAAGCTTTCATTTTGGAATCAACTTTTTCATTCTCTTCTGCTTTGAAAGTAGGTTCAATTATGTTAACCTAAAGACAAAAAATTATATATATGAAGAAAAAAGATAAAAAAATGGAATTTCACACTGACAGGCATTTCATTAGGTCAAAAAGTAAGCATTATAGTGACTCAATCCAAACTGCAATCTTTAACATAGGTTTATTATATCTAAATTATATATTTAACATATAGTAACCTGATGATTGACCTATATTTGAGTGCCTACTCTGTAAATAGGCCCCTTTAGAAAATGTAACATGGTCATTCCCTTAAGAGTTTTTATTTTTTTGGCTGCCCCACATGGCTTGTGGGATCTTAGTTCCCCAGCGAGGGACTGAACCCGGGCTCTCAGCAGTGAGAGCGCAGAGTCCTAACCACTTGACCACCCAGGAATTCCCCTCCCTTTTAAGCGTTTCAAAATCTGTTCTACAATGCAATATATTTATCCCTCTATCAGGTCCCTGATATCTCATAAAAACATAACTAAGTGTTCTTTAAAAATGAAAGAGAGAAAGATCAAGGTAATGTTCTGAGTTAATTACTTTTACTTATTTTAGATAGATAAAAAATACTTTAGATAAAAGGACTCTTTTAAGATGTGTTTAGCCAATTTTTATACAAAAGCATGGAATCAACCTTTTATATACTGTAGCACACTACCAGTCAACTAGTGCCATCCTTCCTCTTTTTACGTACAAAGATGTGGAAGGGCAGCAAGTTAAGTGAATTACCTAAAATTACATAGCCAGCTAGTGGTGGAATGGGGGCTATGTCACAGCTTCTGTCTCAATTTCACCTTTTTTGTGAAAATTACCTTTTTCAGGGGAAATCGACACTAACACAAGCACAGTCGGGGACTTTAACACTCCACTTTCACCAATGGACAGATCATCCAAAAACAACAGAATACACATTTTTCTCAACTGCTCATGGAACATTCTCCGGGATAGATCATATCCTGGGTCACAAATCAAGCCCTGGTAAATTTAAGAAAATTGAAATCGAACCAAGTATCTTTTCCGACCACAACGCTATGAGACTAGTTATCAATTACAGGAAAAGATCTGTAAAAAATACAAACACATGGAAGCGAAACAATAAACTACTTAATAACCAAGTGATCACTGAAGAAATCAAAGAGAAAATAAAAACATACCTAGAAACAAATGACAATGGAGACACGATGACCCAAAACCTATGAGATGCAGCAAAAGCAGTTCTAAGAGGAAAGTTTACAGCAATACAATCCTACCTTAAGAAACAGGAAACATCTCAAATAAACACCCTAACCTTGCACCTAAAGCAATTAGAGAAAGAAGAACCAAAAAACCCCCAAAGTTAGCAGAAGGAAAGAAATCATAAAAATCCGATCAGAAATAAATGAAAAAGAAATGAAGGAAACGACAGCAAAGATCGAAAAAACTAAAAGCTGGTTCTCTGAGAAGATAAACAAAATTGGTTAACCATTAGCCAGACTCATCAAAAAAAAAAAAAAAAAAACAAAAAATCATGAGGGATTACTACAAGCAACTCTATGCCAATAAAATGGACAATCTGGAAGAAATGGACAAATTCTTAGAAATGCACAAACTGCCAAGACTGAATCAGGAAGAAATAGAAAATATGAACAGACCAATCACAAACACTGAAATTGAAACTGTGATTAAAAATCTTCCAACAAACAAAAGCCCAGGACCAGATGGCTTCACAGGCGAATTCTATCAAACATTTAGAGAAGAGCTAACACCTATTCTTCTCAAACTCTTCCAAAATATAGCAGAGGGAGGAACACTCCCAAACTCATTCTACGAGGCCACCATCACCTTGATACCAAAACCAGACAAGGATGTCACAAAGAAAGAAAACTACAGGCCAATATCACTGATGAACATAGATGCAAAAATCCTCAACAAAATACTAGCAAACAGAATCCAACAGCACATTAAAAGGATCATACACCATGATCAAGTGGGGTTTATTCCAGGAATGCAAGGATTCTTCAATATACGCAAATCTATCAATGTGATTAACCATATTAACAAATTGAAGGAGAAAAACCATATGATCATCTCAATAGATGCAGAGAAAGCTTTTGACAAAATTCAACACCCATTTATGATAAAAACCCTCCAGAAAGCAGGCGTAGAGGGAAATTTCCTCAACATAATAAAGGCCATATATGACAAACCCACAGCCAACATCATCCTCAATGGTGAAAAACTGAAAGCATTTCCACTAAGATCAGGAACAAGACAAGGTTGCCCACTCTCACCACTCTTATTCAATATAGTTTTGGAAGTTTTAGCCACAGCAATCAGAGAAGAAAAGAAAATGAAAGGAATCGAAATCGGAAAAGAAGAAGTAAAGCTGTCACTGTTTGCAGATGACATGATACTATACATAGAGAATCCTAAAGATGCTACCAGAAAACTACTAGAGCTAATCAATGAATTTGGTAAAGTAGCAGGATACAAAATTAATGCACAGAAATCTCTGGCATTCCTATATACTAATGATGAAAAATCTGAAAGTGAAATCAAGAAAACACTCCCATTTACCATTGCAACAAAAAGAATAAAATATCTAGGAATAAACCTACCTAAGGAGACAAAAGACCTGTATGCAGAAAATTATAAGACACTGATGAAAGAAATTAAAGATGATACAAACAGATGGAGAGATATACCATGTTCTTGGATTGGAAGAATCAACATTGTGAAAATGACTCTACTTCCCAAAGCAATCTATAGATTCAATGCAATCCCTATCAAACTACCACTGGCATTTTTCACAGAACTAGAACAAAAAATTTCACAATTTGTATGGAAACACAAAAGACCCCGAATAGCCAAAGCAATCTTGAGAACAAAAAATGGAGCTGGAGGAATCAGGCTGCCTGACTTCAGACTATACTACAAAGCTACAGTAATCAAGACAGTATGGTACTGGCACAAAAACAGAAAGATAGATCAATGGAATAGGATAGAAAGCCCAGAGATAAACCCATGCACATATGGTCACCTTATCTTTGATAAAGGTGGCAGGAATATACAGTGGAGAAAGGACAGCCTCTTCAATAAGTGGTGCTGGGAAAATTGGACAGGTACATGTAAAAGTATGAGATTAGATCACTCCCTAACACCATACACAAAAATAAGCTCAAAATGGATTAAAGACCTAAATGTAAGGCCAGAAACTATCAAACTCTTAGAGGAAAACATAGGCAGAACACTCTATGACATAAATCACAGCAAGATCCTTTTTGACCCACCTCCTAGAGAAATGGAAATAAAAACAAAAATAAACAAATGGGACCTAATGAAACTTCAAAGCTTTTGCACAGCAAAGGAAACCATAAACAAGACCAAAAGACAACCCTCAGAATGGGAGAAAATATTTGCAAATGAAGCAACTGACAAAGGATTAATCTCCAAAATTTACAAGCAGCTCATGCAGCTCAATAACAAAAAAACAAACAACCCAATCCAAAAATGGGCAGAAGACCTAAATAGACATTTCTCCAAAGAAGATATACAGACTGCCAACAAACACATGAAAGAATGCTCAACATCATTAATCATTAGAGAAATGCAAATCAAAACTACAATGAGATATCATCTCACACCAGTCAGAATGGCCATCATCAAAAAATCTAGAAACAATAAATGCTGGAGAGGGTGTGGAGAAAAGGGAACACTCTTGCACTGCTGGTGGGAATGTGAATTGGTTCAGCCACTATGGAGAACAGTATGGAGGTTCCTTAAAAAACTACAAATAGAACTACCATATGACCCAGCAATCCCACTACTAGGTATATACCCTGAGGAAACCAGAATTCAGAAAGAGTCATGTACCAAAATGTTCATTGCAGCTCTATTTACAATAGCCCGGAGATGGAAACAACCTAAGTGCCCGTCGTCGGATGAATGGATAAAGAAGATGTGGCACATATATACAATGGAATATTACGCAGCCATAAAGAGAAACGAAATTGAGTTATTTGTAGTGAGGTGGATGGACCCAGAGTCTGTCATACGGAGTGCAGTAAGTCAGAAAGAGAAAAACAAATACCGTATCCTAACACATATATATGGAATCTAAAAAGAAAAAAAAAGTTCATGAAGAACCTAGGGGTAAGACGGGAATAAAGACACAGACTTACTTGAGAATGGACTTGAGGATATGGGGAGGGGGAAGGGTAAGCTGGGACAAAGTGAGAGAGTGGCATGGACATATATACACTATCAAACGTAAAACAGATAGCTAGTGGGAAGCAGCCGCATAGCACAGGGAGATCAACTCGGTGCTTTGTGACCACCTAGAGGAGTGGGATAGGGAGGATGGGAGGGAGGGAGACGCAAGAGGGAAGAGATATGGTAACACATGTATATGTATAACTGATTCACTTTGTTATAAAGCAGAAACTAACACACCATTGTAAAGCAATTATACTCCAATAAAGATGTTTAAAAAATTACCTTTTTAAGAAGAGCTGTTTGTTCTTCATTAGAAATTGTTTCCAAGGTTTCTTTGCCATCACTTTCTATATCTTCTTTACTTGAAGCTTCATCCTCACTGGCAATAGGCCCATTTTCACACAACGGTGTCTGGAAGTCATCATCTACAAGTGGTGGATAGCTATACTTGAAAGGATCCTGAGAGAAAAGAATTTTGTATCAGCTTGCTAAGAGGTGGGTGGAGAGATAATTCTCTTAGTAAAGTTAAAATCCATTCTTCTGGCCAAGAAAACAGAGCTAATTAGATAGTGAAATTTAAAACAAAGCAAGCATTTTGAAACAGCAAGGGTAAAAGCAGGATGTGGTGTGGGACAACTGGCCAGCCATCTGTCAAAGAACCAAATTGGATCTTCAGCTCATTTTTTTTTTTTTAATTTTACTTTTTCTTGTTTTGGCTGTGTCGGGTCTTAGTTGTGGCATGTGGGATCTTTCGTTGCAGTACACGGACTTCTCTCTAGTTGTGGCGTGTGGGTTTTCTCTCTCTAGCTGTGGTACACGGGCTCCAGGGTGCATGGGCTCTGCAGTTGTGGTGCGCGGGCTCCAGAGTGCATGGACTCTGTAATTTGCGGCATGTGGGCTCTCTCATCGAGGCACACGAGCTCAGTAGTTGTGGCGTGTGGGCTTAGATGCCCCGCAGCACATGGGATCTTAGTCCCCCGACCAGGGATCGAACCCGTGTCCCCTGCATTGGAAGGTGGATTCTTTACCACTGGACCATCAGGGAAGTCCCTAGCTCATTCTTTATACCAAAAAGAATTTCAGATGAATAAAAGCTTTAAATGTATGTGTATATTTTTAAAAAAACGACATAAGCTCCAGAACAACACATAGGAGGATTAAACAAACAACAACAAAAACCCAAAAACCCAAAACCTAATTAAGGGAAGGCCTTTTCTAAGTAAAACATGAAACCTAGAAGGCATAAAAATATTGACAAAAATTGAGCACGCCAAAATGAAGCATTTGTGATTGAGGGCCGAGACAAGATGGCAGAGTAGAAGGACATGAGCTCACCTCCTCTCATGGAAACACCAAAATCACAACTAACTGCTAAACAAACATTGACCAAAAAACACTGAAACCTACCAAAAAAGATATTCTACGTCCTAAAGCAAGAAGCCATAACGAGACGATAGGAGGGGTGCAATCACGATAAAATCAAATTCCATACCTGCTGGGTGGGCTACCCACAAACTGGAAAATAATTAGATAGCAGAGGTTCTCCCAGAGGAGTGAAAGTCCCAAGTCCCACATCAGGCTGCCCAGCCTGAGGGTCTGGCATCAGGAGGAGCCCCCAAAAGCATCTGGCTTTGAAGGCCAACAGGGTTTGATCACAGGAATTCCACAGGACTGGGGGAAACAGAAACTCCACTCTTGGAGGACGCACATAAGGTCTGATGAGCACCAGGACCCACAGGTAAAAGCAGTGACCTCATAGAAGCCTGGGCCAAACCTACCTGCTAGTATTGGAGGGTCTCCTTATGAGGTGGGGGGCAGCTGTGGCTCACTGTGGGGACAAAGACACTACTGGTGGTAGGTAGTTCTGGGGAGTGCTCATTGGCGTGAGCTCTCCTGGAGGCTGCCATTTTCTCACCAAGACCTGGCCCCACCCAACACCCTGCAGGCTCCAGTGCTGGGGTGCCTCAGGCCAAACAACCAACACAGTGGGAACACAGCCCCACCCATCAGCAGACATTCTGCCTAAAGTCTTCCTGAGCCCACAGCTGCTCACCAGAGGGACAAGACCCAGCTCCGTATACCAATGGGCAGGAACCAGTACCTCCCAACAGGAAACCTGCACAAGCCTCTTAAATAAATGGTTTTTTTTTTTTTTTTTGGCCACACCTTGTGGCTTGAAGGATCTTAGTTTCCCCAACCAGGGACTAAATGTGCACCCTCAGTGGTGAAAGCATGGACCCCTAACCACTGGACCGCCAGGGAATTCCCTGCAAAAGCCTCTTAGACTGGCCTCATCCACCAGGGGGCAGACAGCAGAAGCAAGAAGAACTACAACCCTGTAGGCTGTGGAACAGAAACCACAATCACAGCATGTTAGACAAAATGAGACCAGCAGAGGATTATGTCCCAGATGAAGTAACAAGATAAAAACCCCAGAAAAACAACTACATGAAGTGGAGATAGGCAATCTATCCGAAAAAGAATGCAGAGTAATGACAGTAAAGTTGATCCAAGATCTCGGAAAAATAATGGAAGCACAGACTGAGAAGACACAAGAAATGTTTAATAAAGAGCTAGAATACCTAAAGAAAAAACAAACACAGATGAACAATATGATAACTGAAATGAAAAATACACTAGAAGGAATCAAGAGCAGAATAAATGAGGCAGAAGAACAGATGAAGTGGAAGACAGAATGGTGGAAATCACTGCCACGAAACAGAATAGAAAAAGGAATCCAAACACAACACTAAAGTAAGTCACCATATCACAAGAGAAAAGAGGAAGGGAGAAAAAAGAAATGAGGACAGTCTAAGAGACCTCTGTGACAACATTAAACATACCAATATTCACATTAAAGGGGTGCCAGAAGGACAAGAAAGGACCTGAGAAAATGTTTGAAGAAATAATAGCTGAAAACTTCCCTAACATGGGAAAGGAAATAGTCACCCATGTCCAGGAAGTGCAGAGAGTCCCATGCAGGATAAACCCAAGGGGGAACACCCCGAGACACATATTAATCGAGCTGACAAAAATGAAACACAAAGACAAAATATTAAAAGCAATGAATAACATACAAGGGAACTCCCAGAAGGTTATCAGCTGATTTTTGAGCAGAAACTCTGCAGACCAGAAGGGAGTGGCACGATATATTTAAAGAGATGAAAGGGAAAAACCTACAACCAAGATTACTCTATCCAGCAAGGATCTCATTCAGATTCAACGGAGAAATCAAAAGCATTACAGACAAGCAAAAGCTAAGAGAATTCTGCACCAGCAGACCAGCTTTGCAACAAATGCTAAAGGAACTTCTCTAGATGGGGGAAAAAAAGGCCACAACTAGAAACAAGAAAATTATGAATGGAAAAGCTCACTGGTAAAGGAAAACTAACAGTAAAGGTAGGAAATAATCCACACACAAATATGCTATCAAAACCATCAATCATGAGAAGATGGAAGTACAAATGCAGGATATTGGAAATGCATTTGAAATTAAAAGACCAGCAACTTAAAACAATCTTATTCGTACACAGACTGCTATGTCAAAACATGGTAACCGCAAACCAAAAATCTACAATAGACACACACAAAGGAAAAAGGAATCCAAACACAACACTAAAGTAAGTCACCATATCACAAGAGGAAAGAGGAAGGGAGAAAAAAGACATACAAAAACAAATGGAAAAAACAATTAACAAAATGGCATTAAGAAGGGAATTCCCTGACGGTTGAGTGCATAGGACTTGGTGCTTTCACTGCCATGGCCTGGGTTCAATCCCTGGTTGGGGAACTAAGATCCTGCAAGTCATGCAGCATGGCCAAAAAAATAAAATAAAAAATGGCAATAAGAACATACATACAGATAATTACTTTAAATGTAAATGGATTAAATGCTCAAACCAAAAGACATAGACCGGCTGAATGGATACAAACCCATATATATGCTATCTACAAGAGACCCACTTCAAATCTAGGGATATACAGACTGAAAGTGAGGGGACTGAAAAAGGTATTCCATGCAAATGGAAATCAAAAGAAAGCTGGAGTGCCAATACTCATATCAGACAAAATAGACTTTAAACTAAAGACTGTCACAAGAGACAAAGAAGGACACTACATAATGATCAAGGGATCAATCAAAAAAGACATAACAATTGTAAATATATATGCACCCAACTTAGGAGCACCTCAATACATAAGGCAAATGTTAACAGATATAAGAGGGGAAACTGACAGTAACACAATAATCATGGGGGACTTTTAACACCTCACATCAAGGGACAGATCATCCAGACAGAAAATCAATAAGGAAACACAGGCCTTAAATGACACATTAGACCAGATAGACTTAACTGATATTTATAGAGCATTCCATCCAAAAGCAGCAGAATACACATTCTTCTCAAGTACACGGGAAACATTCTCCAGGATTGATCACATGCTGGACCACAAAGTGAGCCTTGGTAAATTTAAGAAAACTGAAATCATATCAACAATCTTCTCCAACCACAATGCTATGAGACAGACATCAACTACAAGAAAAAAACCGTAAAAAACACAAACACGAGCTCTTTCCAAGATGGCGGAAGAGTAAGACGCAGAGATCACCTTCCTCCCCACAGATACACCAGAAATACATCTACACGTGGAGCAACTCCTACAGAACACCTACTGAACGCTGGCAGGAGACCTCAGACCTCCCAAAAGGCAAGAAACTCCCCACGTACCTGGGTAGGGCAAGAGAAAAAAGAATAAACAGAGACAAAAGGATAAGGACGGTACCTGCACCAGTGGGAGGGAGCCGTGAAGGAGGAAAGGTCTCCACACACTAGGAGCCCCTTCGCGGGCAGAGATTGCGGGAGGCGGAGCGGGGAGCTTCGGAGCCGCGGAGGACAGCACAGCAACAGGGGCGCGGAGGGCAAAGCGGAGAGATTCCCGCACAGAGGATTGGCGCCAACCGGCGCTCACCAGCCCGAGAGGCTCGTGTGCTCACCCGCCGGGGGCGGGCGGGGCTGCGAGCTGAGGCTCGGTTTCGGTTTCGGTCGGAGCGCAGGGAGAGGACTGGGGTTGGCGGCTTGAACACAGCCCGAAGGGGTTAGTGCGCCACGGATAGCCGGGAGGGAGTCCGGGGGAAAGTCTGGACCTACCCAAGAGGCAAGAGACCTTTTCTTGCCTCTGTGTTTCCTGGGGCGCGAGGAGAGGGGTTTTAAGAGCGCTGCCTAAAGGAGCTCCAGAGACGGGCGCGAGAAAAGCTCGGAAACCAGAGACGGGCAGGAGACGCTAAGGCTGCTGCTGCCCCACTAGCAGAGAGGCTGCCTAAAATCATAATAAGTCCACAGACACCCCAAAACACACCACCAGACGTGGACCTGCCCACTAGAGAGACAAGATCTAGCCTCATACACCACAACACAGCCACTAGTCCCCTCCACCAGGAAGCCTACACAACGCACTGAACC